CTGGCGCCTAGATATCAGCAGGGCCAGGGCGCCAAGAGCGATGGATCTTCTGTCCTCTTCGAAATGAAATTAAACTAACCGACTGTTGACCCAGTGAGACAAGTCTTGTCTTCCGTATCAGTAAAAGTGGGCGACGGATTCGATCAGATATGACGTGTGATCGTATATTCCGGATAATCGCAATTTGATGCATGCTGCAATGAGGGGAAACGAAGATGTGAGAGATACGGTCGGAGAAGATGCGATATCAATGAGGGGAAAAGGCTTTCTTCTCTAACATGACTTCGAGCCCGGGTAATCTCCTGTGGTCAACTGAGTCATGTACGGCGGGTTACGGAAAACTATTTTTCGCAGGAATAACGATCCCGCTTGTACGTACTCAGGACCGACTAAAAAAGCTTCAAGCTCAATGACAAAAAACTGCGATTTCAACATTACGTAACAAAGAAGTGACCTTTAAATAAAAAGCACAGCCGTTTTTCGCCAAAATTCAACGACGGTAAATTAAACACCTGGTCATTTACCTCAGCTCAATTTAAGCATGCGTTTTCCCCATGAAATAGTGACAAGGCGACGTAAAGAGAGTTAGAGGAGCAGGAACTCACCATCTAAATTTGTTCGCTTCCGATGAGTCCGTTTAATATTTGAGGCCTCCAGCTCCCAGCAGGACGAGATGGTGCTCTCCAACATAGGTACCATACCGGAGATAAATATGTACTTGGATCATTACCTACATCGCTACAATGTAACCGCAATCTTAAGCGTTTTTATAGACGACAAATCGAGTGAAAATCACAGTGTATTGTAAAATGGCGAGTGGCAACAATGACCGAGCCCACGATGGCAACTGGTTTTATTTCGTGGATCGCGACTGGAGTACGATCTTGTGAGGAACGCACTGGCGTTCTTACATCACTCCTTCTCTCGTGGTGCGTTGTAAAACACTGGCACACGTCAAAACCGTGCCGCGCCGCCGAGGATGCACCGTTGGGTAACTTTTCGATTCGACGAAAGGAGGGATCTAGTGCAGTGGTGTGCTGTGGTGGTAGGAGCAGCTTTCCCCCACTTTAGGTATTCGGTATCGCGGCTCTAATGTGGCTTCGACTTGGAACTTGGACCCTCAGGAGGAGGTTGGAGTGTTATTTGTCGTTTATCGTTCGTCCGTTCGGTAACTCACCGTGGGAGCACTTTCACCCACACGACAGGCGCGTGCGATGGCACGTTTAAGGGGGATTGTCCAGGCAAATGAGCCAAAACAGAGGGCATACCTACCCTAGTAGCAGCGGTTCGTGAAAAACATGGACAAATTTTTTAAAAATTTTGAAATGAAGATGCGCAACACAAACAGACTCGTAAAAAACTCGTAAAAAAAGATTCCAGTTGACGAATTTGGAATCATTCCTAGAATTATACACGTATAAAACTTGTGAGCACCTTGTGAGAGACTCATGTTTAAAAATAGTGCTGCCACTGAAACCTATTTTAAACAGGTTTTTCACGAGTTTTTTTATGTGTAAAACTCCAGGAATAATCCAAAATTTGTTAAATGGGATTTTTTTTTCACAAGTTTTTTACATTTTTAAAACTTCATTTCACAAGTTTTTCTGTTCTATTCAGATTTTTTTCTTTCTCTTAATTTATTTTATCATTTTATTTTGTGTGTTTCATTGTGAATTGGAAATTGATAATCCAATTAGGTAATCCCAAACACACAGAATAAAATCATGAATGGAATTAAGACAAGAGAAAAAAACCTGAAAAGAACAGCTCAGCCATAGAATTCTGACCCATCTTACAACTTCTTTAATGCAGAAATAACTGTTGGAATGCATGCTAGATTCATACTTCCCGCATTCAATACAAATCGATGTTGTACACCGGTGACTCGAGTAGTCACCACCACCTCTCTGTAGGTACTCTACCTCTCTGTACAGTTGTGGGTAGAGTACCTATATTGAGAGAGTATGGCCACTGGGGTTACCACCTCTGATTGGCTCAGACATCTTAGGCTGAATGGAGCCCTTAGGACCCAAAAATGGCGGACGCCATAAAGTTAATGTAATGCAAAATGATTCAAAATGTAGTTGTCTTTGCTTATCGTAACGAGAACTTTACCCAAATGCACTATTGCGACTTTTTTACATATTTTAAGGCTAATCGTGTGCAATTTTTGAGAAAAATGATCTTAGATGTAGTAAGGTTGGCAGCAAGTGTGGTTGGTGATAACCGTCAAAAGTTGGCAATGACCCCCCTCCCATCGTCAAAAACCAAAACAAAGCACCGCCATTTTTGGGTCCTAAGCCTCTCCATGGGGCCCAGTGGCCATACTCTCTCAATATAGGTACTGTAGTTGTGGGAACGCTAAAGGTTTATGTACAGCTGCGTGAAGTAAGAAATTTCTCCGCGCAGGGGGCGCCACCGCTGTGTTTTGATTTTTAGGTCCGCGCTTTTAGAGTCCGTACAGCTCCTAGTAAGTCCTTGAGCTTTTATGAAAGTTAGGGGAACTTCTGTTTAAATTGAAGAGTCATATGTTCTAGTCATAACATTCTTCTTCCTATTGACACTGGAACGACGTAAAAAGAAACTTCTGAAGCTCTGAAATTTGATCCCAGAAAAAAGTAGGGTTAAGCATGATGATCTTGATGCAACCAATCGCGATGGATCGCTCTCAGCGGTTGCAGATATCTCTCTCCCACCGTGAGCTGTCTCTCTCGCACTTACAGATATCCCGTAAGAGAAACTGGGATCAAATTGTAGCTTTTATTATTAAACTTTCAAAGCTCGCGTTTGTTTCTAAGGATTCCAGACGTATGCTGCTAGAACTTATGAGTCTTAGAATTTAAGATATCTATTGTGATATTTAAATATTCACTGATTTCGGAGTCGGATTTTAGCAGCGCGACGTGGTGGATTTTTTCAGAACTACAGCTGAAGATTAACCTTAAATAACGTTAGCTTTATTATTCTATGGCAGAACTTGCAGCAGAACTAGAGTACCTATATTGAGAGAGTATGGCCACTGAAGTTACCACCTCTGATTGGCTCAGCCATCTTAGGCTGAATGGAGCCCTTAGGACCCAAAAATGGCGGACGCCATAAAGTTAATGTAATGCAAAATGATTCAAAATGTAGTTGTCTTTGCTTATCGTAACGAGAACTTTACCCAATTGCACTATTGCGACTTTTTTACATACTTTTAAGGCTAATCGTGTGCAATTTTTGAGAAAAATGATCTTAGATGTAGTAAGGTTGGCAGCAAGTGCGGTTGGTGATAACCGTCAAAAGTTGGCAATGACCCCCCTCCCATCGTCAAAAACCAAAACAAAGCACCGCCATTTTTGGGTCCTAAGCCTCTCCATGGGACCTAGAGTACCTTTATAGACAGAGTATGGCCATTTCTGTTCCGGTTTTTCATTGGTCGCGAGCGAATAGGCTGACACGATGCTCTTAGGGCCGTAAATAAACAAAGAGGATGACTGTTATCAGCAAGCAAGATTGAGGTTATGCACATCTTACATCCTCCTGTGATAAAGGTGTGAGGCGGTTTAACAATAGTTTTCGTGTTTTTTTCGTGTGTTATTCGTAGATATGCTAGTTTAAATTGTTACTGCCGTATAATTGAAATTTTTGTCAAATTTAGCTTCTTATCGATGTTACGGTGAGTCGCCATCTTGTTTGTTTATTTACGGCCCTAAGACATAGAGTACAATAGAGTCGCAAAGTACTGGATCGTCGATGAAGTCACTTTTGGAGGCTGTTTTGTCCAGTTCTCCGGAGACTAGTGTGCGGCGACTAACGATGACGCATACGCAGAGACTCGCGCTCGGCGCTCCCCACTCCCGACTCGGCTCCGTTCGTCGGCTAGGTCCACACACATTGAATCAGCTAAGTAGGCCGGTAATAAGTCTGAAATTGAGCCCATATATGAATATTATCTAGGAGTAACATACATCAATGGATTCATTATGGCTTAGAATATCTATTTCAAGCAAAATTTGCACAAATTAATATCGATGGAATTTAAAAAAGTCGAAAAAACACAAGCAGTCGTTGATTTCTCCATAAGCAACCGTGTTAAAAAACGCCGGTTGGTTCACACTTTGTATAAGTCAGAAATTAAATTCCTATATGAATATTATCCCGGAGAAACATACATCAATGGATTCATTATGGCTTCGACTATCTAATTATGGCAAAATTTGCACAAATTAATATCGATTGAATTAAAAAATGTCGAAAAAACACAAGCAGTCGTTGCTTTTCCCGTAAGCCGCCGTGATAATAAATGCCGGTTGGTTCACACTTAGTATAAGTCAGAAATTAAATCCCAATATGAATATTATCTAGGAGTAATATACATCAATAGATTCATTATGGCTTTGACTACCTTTTAATGGCAAAATTTGCAAAAATTAATGCTGATTGAATTATAAAATGTCGAAAAAACACAAGCAGTTCTTGATCTCTCCATAAGCCGCCGTGTTACAAACATAGAGTACAATAGAGTCGCAAAGTACTGGAGCGCCGATGAAGCCAATCCATTAACAGGCGTTTCCGAGCCGCGTGTGCTCCGAAAATTGTGAACCATTTGGGAACAGTGGCGTAGGAAGGGGGGGCCAGGGGGGGCCTGGCCCCCCCCCCCAAAATTGGAAATAGTATCATCTGGCCCCCCCCC